AAGTTTTAAGAAAGACATATAATCTAGCTAGCATGTAGTTCATATTTGCTTGTACTTCCCTGTTTTCCTTAAAGGACTCTTCTCAATGCTTTATTCATCTCTCATTGATTCTAGGGTGAATGCTTCCCAATGCTTCCATGTGATGATGTCTTTTAGATTATTGAAACAAACCTCACTCATTAGGTAGAGCATCTGTATTTTTTTTTTTAGCTATTGATCGCCTCTTAATAAACAACCAAGTATTTGCCTTGCAATTTCACCTCTCTGAAAATGCAAAATCACTACCACCCAAAAGCTGAACCTCTAAAAAGCTTTGTAAAAATGCATTGGGAAGTCATCAGAACCTTGCTCAATAGTGACTGCCTTGGGAGTCAAAGAAGGAAGGAAAAAAAACAATAGCGTTAATAAAGCCAGATTTTACTAAGGTTCAACGAAGTGCCAGGAACCATGATAAAAACTTTAATTTTCAGAAACAAGTATGGCACTGAATTAATAAGAGAATTTACTTCAACATTCAAGTAGATATTTTGATTTCCATGTAGAAATTTAAAAGAAATGATTTCAAAGATGCTTATATTTACTAAAACAAATATCTTAATTTTTATCACTCTCATTATATATTTAAATAAAATATTTTATAGTTAAGTGGGTTCAAATTAGGGATCAGGATAAATAATTGCAGTGTTTCTAAATGCAACAGATTTCACATTTTATTTTTTCACTCTTGAACTTTAAATTATACTCTTTGTGATTAAAGAGAGACCTTTAAAACTGATTTGATCTTATATAAAACTGTTTGTCAAGTTTGTCTGTCCTTTTTTAAAATAAAATAAGATGCTTCATTTAAGACAGAAAAATAAAGCTAATAAAATGTACATAAGTATGATTTTTATGAAAGGTTTTATTTAATTATATTCCAGTATGTGGATTTTAGAAGTAAATAGTATCCCATTGTCCAAATGCTTCTATTTAGTCTCTTATCATTTATTCTCTCTCTTGGAACCAAAGTCTTTGCTACTTACATATAAAAGAGGTGAAGAAATAGCCATTATATACCCAATTCCCCAGATCAGAGTATCTAAGAATCATGGAGTGAAGTGGGCTTGTTACCTGCATTTTTCTCTAATTAAGGTTAATGAAAGCCTATAAAATCATTATACTCAACATTTAAGCCAAATTTAAATAATACAACCCCCAGAGGTATAAAGGAACACTTTGCATCTGTTCAGTATCCTAATAAATTCATTTCTAATTTAAGTACATTTGCAACAAGGGCATTGTTTTCTGGAAGTGCATTACAATTTAGGGACTTAAAAAACTTCTATTAAGCAATTTTACTTTTATTAATATTCTCCTAGAAACATATATGGTTATAATAATTTGACTTAATCCTAGAAAAATGTAGCTAATTAATATTTACATATATAAGTATATATGGTCACTAATTTATATTTATATTGCATGCATGTATATTTATATATGTTAAAATTATAAATTATATTGATATATTTCTTATAACTATCCTATCCAATGCTTCCTCAAATATTTATTTTCTAATAGATGTACATATTTTGTAGGTACTACTGAATTTGTTATATATTTTTAATAAAAGAGAAATTGTTGAATACACTTTAATATTTCATTTCAATGGTTAAGAATAAAGTCCTTTTAAAATATATTTATATAACTACCAAATCAATAATATAGACATTTAATTTTTTTATTGTTATCAATTTCAGAGACAGGATGGGAGAGGGAGAGAGAGATAGAAACATCAATGCTGAGAGAATCATTGATCAGCTGCCTCTAGCACATTCCACATTGGGGATTGAGCCTGTAACTCAGACATATGCCCTGACTGGAAATGAACCTAGATCTCCTGGTTCAAGGTTCATGGGTTGATGCTCAACCACTGAGCACCACTGGCTGGACTGTTTTTATTGATTTAAAGAGAGGGAAACATTGATGAGAATCATTGATTGGCTACTGCCGGAAGCTGGTCCACCCTTGCTGCTTGACACAGTCGCTGCTGGGAAGAAACATCTGCACAGCTTATGTTTCAAGGGACCTGGCGTATATTGCATATGTTTGCTCCCCGTCTTAGCACTATGTGTTTTAAACAGGACCACCTCCCCGAGAAAGGTTGTTTCCCCAGGTTAGGGATTAATAGGACTAAGGAAGAGAATAAATCAGTAAATCCCCCTAGTGTTACAGAAATACCATGTACTACTTATGAAGAACTTGGACTAAGACTGTTGGCAATAAATTTTGGACTTGTTGGGCCCACATCCCCAGGGGTCTGCCCACCAGGGAAAGCACCAAAGCCTATACCCCTGGAGATCCACCGACATAGGGCAGTCCCAGGGAAGGCAAGCAATGAGGCTGGGAGGACATAACCTTTACTGGATAGGATAATCTCCTTCAGTCACTTCCTTGTAGCCTATCAGTAGAGCAGTGACCTTGGAATAGCCCTTGTAATGGAACACAGAGATTAACCTAGACAAGATTAAAATCAACAGAACTAGATAGAGACAGGATTTTTGGCAAAGGTCACATAAGAAACAAGGAACTGTAGAACGTTACCCAAAACATACCATGATGTAATTATAGAGGCATGCTTATGGGATCAAATAGTATAAATATAGATGTAACAGGACAATGAAAGGGAGAACTTCGCTATGCTGATCAACTGAACGCTGCTTCCGTGTCATTCCTTCTTCACCGACTCCGTCCACACCTTGGGGAACCCCTGGACCTGCTGGGGCTGGACCCCAACAGGCTACCTCTTGCAACTCCACACTGGGGATTGAGCCCCCAACCCTGGCATGTGCCCTGACCAGGAATCCAACCATGACCTCCTGATTTACGCTCAACCACTGATCCATGCTGACTCGGCAACATTTCATCCTTTGGTTTATCATGTAGGATTGCTGAAGAGCATCAGAATTTTTAATCGATGTATACTTTCAGATGAAATGGTATTTAACCTCTGAGGAAAAATATATATCCCTAGGATAAGTGTAAATTGCATAGCTTTTTCAAATGTAACACAAGTTCTATGATTAGATTTAGTACAAAAAATAAACAAGTTTCAACTTAAAAACCAGCTGTAAATACATACATACAAAATTGCATATGTATTTGTCTAGCAGTCTTAGGAACAACTTTCAGAAACTATCAAGGCTTTGAAAATTCCATTTAACTCAGAATGTCTGCTTTGGCCCAACAGACATATTTAAATAGTATTCTCTCTACTTCCTTTTTAATATTCTCCATCGCAGCTAGCTAAAATTTTGTCATCTAAATACAGCAAATATGTTCTACTTCAGCACAAATGTAGTTGTACATGAAATTCTGACAAAAAAAAAGAGGAATTACATATAAATTGGAATACCCTATCTACTCTCATGCTGTTTACCTGATATATTTCTTTTAGGTGAAGTTTCTTTGAACATAATGAAGATTAGTTCTAAGGATTTTGAATGTTAATCTTCATAGTCCTTTCTTGACATCTGTTCCAATTGGTGACTATTGTGCTCAATGAGTAATTAGTAAGAGAATGCAGATACTTGAAATAGGAATCTTATTTCCTTGCCAGCCATTTAACGGAGTTATGAATGTACCACTTATTTATCTCACAAAGCTATTCAGGAAAAATTTAAATTCAGGCTTGTTCTCCCAATGAAAATGTGTACACAGCTGAAAGAGACATGCTGTATTAGAAAATGTTGCACTTACATTATCTACATTATCTTTTATGTAAGTGTGAGAATATAATACATGTGGACCCACCTTATTATGCCACGGATCTTTCATTTAAATGGTGGTTTCCTTTCCTATTTTTAATGACTCTAAAATATGACAACCTTTCTCATCCTGCTTTCTTTCCATCTCTCCAACAAAATCTCTCCCACACAAGTCATTCCCTCTGGTATTTAATGAGCTAAAAACAGTCACAGATAGGCAGTGGTAGCTGGTGTTGACACAAACTATTCAATACATCATTTTCCAACCCAAAGGAATGAAGTATTTTGTAAATTACCTATTTTCTTTTAAATATAAATTCTCCAAGATAGGGTTTTGCTAAATCATGCTATGCAGCATAAAGCTTAGCCCAGGCATAGATATAATGTGAGCAAGGAGGATAAGGGAAACAAACACACAAATAAAAAACCACCCCCCTATGCAGTTGGATTTCATTCTAGTCAGATGCTTTGATGTAGGCTGAAATGGAAATATTTCAGAATTTTATATTAAAGCTGACTGGCTGCTCATCCTTACTGAAAACAGCTAAGGGGTAGGCAAAAGCGAGGTTACTTGTTGCAACTTGAAACTCATTATTGTCATGTACCATCCCTGATTTTACTGTAAGAAAACCATGCTAATGAAGCCGAGGTCTTAGGTGACAGTGAGCCAATCAGCACCATACAGTCTCTGCTTTATCTGCTTTCTTTGAAAGATCTATCCTTAGAAGAGAAACTATGTGTGAGTATGAAATAGTGTCTGTCTATATTACCAGCACTGGAAAAGCAATGCAAATTCTATGTCTTATGGAGAACGATTGAAAATCAGCATCGTCTCATTACAGTAATATAAAATAATCTAAAATTTCCAACATGAAAGAGAAAGGGGTGGGAAAGGATATTACTACCTAAAGTTACCAATTAATATCTGATTAGTCCCGTGACTCTCCTAGTTTTCCTCTCTCCTAAATTCAGAACAAAGACAGACTTGCTAGATGGCATGCACTACACCCTGGCAGAATCTTGATCAGTCTTAGGGCAACAGTAAATGCTCTAAACTCAGAGTGCCAATCACCATGGCAGTGCTTCTAGTACTCTTGTTCTCTCTCTGGGTGTGTCTTGGTATCTCTTCTCTCTGCCTACAGACATGGTCCCTGCTGGCGAGAAGAGCACTATCAGATACAAGCAAGCTGGTCTATCACTATGCATTGGGACACCACTATTCGCTCGCAAAGAAGAAATAGGAGATAACTGTACCCGCATAAAGGAGAGGTCCCGGTTGTGCTCGATGCTGGTTATCTCCAGGTTGCCCATGACTACCTCACAGTTCTCATAGTACTTGCGCAAGGCTCGATACTGCTGCTCCAGGTCAGAGAGAGAACTCAGCTTATTCTCTGTTCCTGCACACACTGCCAAGACAAGAAGATACACGGGGAGTTATATAACCTTCATATGACAAGTACAATATCATCTCCCTCAACTTGGTATTCCACACACTACCACAATGTCCCCAATTAAAATATTAAAATGTCATTAAGACCTATAACCCACACACTGATATCTGTACTTTTATTTTCCAGCTTTATTGAGATATAACATTGTGTAAGTATAACGTGTACAGCATGTTGATTTGATACATTTATAGATATCTGCAAATTTATTATCAATAGCTAGCTAACACCCCCATCACCTCACACAGTTACTATACCTTTTTTGTGGTGAGAACATTTAAAATTTACTCTTAGCAACTTTTAAGTAGATAATATGATATTGTTATTTATAATCACCATGCTGCACATTAGATGCCCAGAACAGATTCATCTTATAACTGAAGTGTATACTCTAACATATACCCCATATCCCCTGCCTCAAAGTCCCTGGAAACCACCATTCTTCTTTCTGTTTTTATGAATCAGCTTTCTTTTATTCCACATATAAGTAATATTACATATTTTCATTCATAAGTTGCATGTGTTAATGACAGAGAGTAAGAAGCTATAGGTTCTATAGAAACACATAGCAAGGAGATAAATTTAAATAATCACACTTCTAATGAGCACATAAAGCATGTAAATACATTTAATTTCATTTAAACAAGAATTTCTTTTGGACTTATAATTCACCCTATTTTCTATCAGGGTTCATTCTACGTATGAAAATTAATGAAAATCAAAAGATGATGAAAATAACATTTTTTCAATATTAATTTATGTTTATTGTTGAAAGTATTATAGATGTCTCCTTTTTTTTTTTTCCATTGACCCACTCCAACCCCAACTCACCCCTCCCAGGCCTTCACCACACTATTATCTGTGACCATGGGCTATGATATTCCCTATTGCAAAATAAGCTGAATACAATTTTTACATAATTAACACTTGGGTTTTTAAATCCTCAAAATACTACCTTTTAAAATACAAATAATAAATACTTGGATTGAAACATTTATAAGAATATACTACAAAAAAGATTGTATAATAAAATTTAACCTTTTTATATAAACAGGGTCATTACTACGTATTTTTATCAATGTGCTGAGATATAATGGACTGTTAATAAATGATCTTTGTTAGCCATATTTGGGGGCATGGTTATTGAATCTGTTCAAATGTGAGCACATGAGTGTACAGACGTGTGTTTTTTGTTTGTGTTGATATCTTTTCTGTCCTCTAGAAGTCAGAGTTTTAGTGATGGCTTTAGTTCTCATGGCTTATATACTTGCCTGAACAAAATCTATACCATTGAGTGTGCCAATTTGAATCTTTAATGAACTGAAAAACTCTATTATGGATCTTATAATAATAATATATAAAGTTTAAAAAATAGATAGTGAATAAATATTCTTTGAGTAAGTTACATAATACTAGAGGCCCGGTGCACAGATTCGTGAACCGGTGGGGTCCCTCGGCCTGGCCTGCGGGGACTGGGCCAAAACCAGTGGTCCAACACCGCCTGCCACTCCTGACTGTCGCTCCAGCTCATTCTGGCCCCACTCGCGCCCAGTCAGTCCTGATTGGGAGAGGCTCGAGCTGCTGCAGCAGCACTCTCCAGCCATGAGCCCTGAGTCTGGTGCCTTTTGGTCAGCTGAGTGGCGTTCCCACTGTGGGAGCACACTGACCACCAGGGGGCAGCTCCTATGTTGAGTGTCTGCCCCCTGGTATTCAGGGCACAACATAGCAACCTGTCGAACAGTCATTGAGTCACTTAGGCTTTTATAGATAGATAGATAGATAGATAGATAGATAGATAGATAGATAGATAGATAGATGATAGATAGATAGATAGATAGATAGATAATATAGATAGATAGATAGATAGATAGATAGATAGATAGATAATATAGATAGATATAGATATAGATGATATAGATATAGATATAGATATAGATATAGATTAGATATAGATTAGATATAGATATAGATATAGATATAGATATAGATATATATATATATACAAAATTTAAGGCAAGATATAAAGTGTAAACTTTGAAGACACTGAAAACAGAACCTGGTTATCATGTCATACACATATTTGTGTGCCATGTACACAGAAATGACAAAGTAGTCATGATCTTATATGGTGTTCAATGGAATGGGATTTAGTAGAGAAAGAAAAAAATTCTACGTGTGTATATTTTAATAATTAGGACCACCTTAAAGCCTGCTTTTGCCTATTGACACATTTAAAATAACAAAAGTTAGATCCAAAATTCGAAAAGTAATGTAGACCTTTAATCACATTATAAGCACTTTATAAAAACAAAACACAACCTTCTCTTGTTTGGATTTCTAAAACTCACCAAACAGTACATTTTCTGGAAGTACTTTTTTAATCATGGAATTGGGTCCCTCTACAGGATTTATTGAAGTCCTAACCCCTGGTACTTGTGAATGTGACCTTATTTTGAACAAGGGCCTTTGTAGATGTAATCAAGTTAAATAATGATATTAGGGCGGGCCCTAATCCAATATGATTCATGTCATTCTAAGAAGAGCAAAACACAATGTGAATACGTAAGGAGAAAGCCATGAGGCCACAGAAGCAAAGATGGGGGTGATGCAGTTACAATCTAAGAATGCCAAGAATTAATGGTCATCACCAGAAGCAAGGAAAAGGCAAAGACAGATTCCACCCGGAGTCTCAGAGGGAGAAAGACCCTCCTGCTACCTTGCTATTGGACTACTGGCCTCTTGAACTGTGAAAGAATAAATGACTTGTTTTAAGCCACTTAAATTATAATCCATGATTTTCATTTTATTGCTCTCAGCACTTTATTATAGTAGCCCTAGAAAACAAATACATAATCTTTAGACTACTTCTCATTGAAACCTCACATTTAAAGAAATTGTAAAGATGACCTCTTCTCTCTAGGGTCCTATAGCTTATCACCTTCTAGCCATTCTCCTTTTCTCCCTTCTGAATGCCAAGTCCCTCATACAGCATGATGGAATTCATTTGTAGTTTTTGTAGAGTGATAAGGATGGATGCAAAGATATCTAGAATCCTCAACACCCATTCTCCTCTTCCTTCACAGTAACAGACTGAACAATATTAGCCATGCATGTTGGCACCCCAAATAAAGATTACATTTCTCTGCTCATCTTGGAGGTAAGATTAGCAAGGGACTAAGTTAGGACATATGTTATAATGCCTTCCTAGAACTTTATTTAAAACTTGGTTGGAGCCTGACAGTGCCTCCTTTCTTCTTCACATCTTTCTCCAATCTGCTGGCTGAATTAGAAACATGGAAGCTTAAACATGAACCATCATCTTGGACCACAAGGATGAGAGATATACCTTAGAGCAGTGATGGCGAACCTTTTGAGCTCGGCGTGTCAGCATTTTGAAAAACCCTAACTTAACTCTGGTGCCATGTCACATATAGAAATTTTTTGATATTTGCAACCATAGTAAAACAAAGATTTATATTTTTGATATTTATTTTATATATTTAAATGCCATTTAACAAAGAAAAATCAACCAAAAAAATGAGTTCGTGTGTCACCTCTGACACGCGTGTCATAGGTTCGCTATCACTGCCTTAGAGCATGGATGGGGAACATTTCTTCTGCCAATGGCCCATTTGGATATTTATAACATCATTCATTTCATGTAAATGTATGTTGTTATGAAAAAAGCTCCCTGATTTATTGAATTTTGAGTCCCACCTGCAATACCTTGGCGTGGTCACACCAAATGACTTCTTGGGCTTTTATAGCATTTGGGCCAGACATTCCCCACCGCTGCCTTAGAGAGACTGAGAAATGAGCTAAAAATAATCAGGGTTTTCATACAAAACCATGGAGATTTTACATTGTTTTATTATCATTAACATCAGGATAATGGTGATTTTTTTTTCCTAGCTACTGCAATAGTATACAAAGAAATGATTAAAGTCTAATTACATCCTATTGTTTTGACCTTAAGTAATGTTAGCAATTCTGTCTGGTTGTTCGACTGAATTTATTCAAATCATAATTAAACAAAAATCATTCCTGATCATCTGAACATTTTACTGGTTTTGTGGAAGTTTACATTGTTACTAAAACCAACAAACACCAAAAAATGAATTTCTATTGATAACTACAATAATATCCAACACAAGGAAGAGAACAAGAAACAACTGATTTGTGTACACGATCTTTGTGATCAAGATCAAAATCCAGCTTTTTTTCCCAATTCATTCTAGAGACCAAGAAACATAATAATCCATGATTTTCATTTTATTACTCTCAGTAAATTTGTAACAAAATATTTGTAAACTTGTTAAATGGCTGTTGAAAAAAGCTACTATTATATAGTTCATGAAATACAGATTTTAATTATTTCAAATTTATCTGAAGACAAGCTTATATTTAAATGCAATTACTGATGGGAGTAATTAAGCATCACTTAATTAACTTGCTGTGCCATTTCTAAACTATATACAATGACACATTGCAATTTATGTACAACCTGTGTTCTACAAGTTTCTTTCAATTGGAAATAAAACCCTTACTTTAATATTAATATATTTAAAAATCAATATGTAAACTTCTAAATGAAAAATTTTTCTAAAATATTTAGTGTATTCCTTTCTATAAATCTTAAACAAATTCTGAGATAAACATCTATTAATATAATAATAATGTATTTTTGCATGTGTCTCATCCTGCATATATGAGGTACTTAATAAATTATTATTAATTTGTATTACAAAAATATGTTTATATAAGAAATCCTCAAAGTCCGTAAACTCTTTGAATACAGATGTAATATTTTAATTATTTTGAATGTGTTGAGCTATAAAACACACAATGCTTTGCAAGAAATTACCTTTTCATAATATCCATTTAATTGCTATAAAACAATTATAACTCATATTCAGATAATGACCCTGAATTCAGAACAGTATCCATTGTTCAATCAATGATCAGTTGTGTTTTGTATATACAATATAATAAATATTTTTCAACAACAAAATAATCCTCCAATAAACAGAAAATCTGATTTATCAGAATATTCTCTTTTCCAAATATTATGGTTTTTGGAACTTTCACTACACACAGTTCCATTTTGGAAATATTTTTGTCTTAGTGGGAATCTCCTTTATATTTGTTTGACTGAAGCTACATAACCAGTTATATTCCTCTAAACTTTTATCTTGAAAGACAGACTTGATTTTAAAATAACTAGCTTGGATAGATGCGTAAAAATTGTTTGTATGTTTCTTCATGTTGCCTTCACTGAATGCCTCACAACTTCCATTTGTCAATCGATTTTACAATCAAGCAATGTATACAAGACAATGCTAAAGCCATCAAGTTTCATTGATTTCACAC